ACTTGCCTTACAGTTTCTCCCCACAGCAATGATTATTTTCATCCATAAAGCAGATTTGCCACTTTGTCCATTCAACATGGCCCCATAACCTCTGGTCTTATCCAAGTAAAATGCAGTTGTTGTAACACCTTCCAAAGGGATCTGTATAAGCAGCTTCCCTCTGTCATCCCAACCTGACTCCCTCCTCCTCCCTCATCCACTCTGTCACACCCCCACTAGCCCCTGGACGCGTCCTTAACTCACCAAGCCTGCTCTAGCATCACTCCTCCTATTCCCACCTGGCCTGTGCCTCCCGCAGAGATCCACACGCATTATCTCCCACACTTCCTATTCAAGTGAACCTTAGTCAGGGGCTGGGAAAATTGCCACAACAGTGACAGCACCTCTCCTTCAATTTGTACCTGTGTCCACTCTCCTCTTTACTTGCCTTTTTTATAACTTCTACTACCTCCTGACATCCAGCATAGCCCATGCTTGGTTTTTTTCTTTTGGCTCTCCCCATCACATAATTTTTGTTTGTTTGTTTTGTGTGGTACCAGGGATTGAACTCAGGACCCTGCGCTTGCCAGGCAAGTGCTTATTCTACTGAACTATCTCCCCAGAACCCTTAACAGAAATTTTAAAGATAGGAAATTTCCTTTATCCCTGCAGTCTCCCAGCCACTCACACTGGATGTGTCACATAGGAAAAATAATAAAATGTCTGAATGACCTGGCTCTGTTTACTTCTCAGGCTTCACTGCTTCTCCTCTGTAAACACTGTAGGTACAAGGAACTTGCACTTCCGTAATCCCGCATTCCCTGTCGCCCTCTAGCCTAGGAACAAGCCATTACTTGTAGCACTCTCTTCATCCCCCGGACTGAGGACAGCAGCGACCCTCAGAGACTCTTTTTTTTTTTTTTTTTTTTTTTTTTTTTTTTTTTTTTTTGTTCCTCGAAGGGCACTTTTGGCCAGCTGGAGAGGTGTGAGGTTTGAACTCCAGCAACCTGAGGCTGACAGCTTTGTGGAAGCAGCCAATTAAAGGCCTCAGCTAGGGCCAGGCCCCCTCAGAGACTCTTCTGGACTTCCGCAGTTGGCTGGCTCCTTGAACAGCTGCCCCTGCAGCGCCTTGGCTTCTCTCCCACGACAGCCCTCCCACACTCTGTTCTCTCTCCACACTCCAAGCTCATCCTGAGAGACCAGGAACTGGGTCTTATTCCTGCTGTTCTGTCCTCTCCATTCATCTTGTCTGGGCTAAAGAAACTTCTAATCTTGGTTGAATTCTTAAATAAAAAAACTCCTTAAGAGACACATAAGGTTTTGGAGTAGCACATATGGAATATAGTTTCCACAGATATGCTTTCATGAAGCACCACACTCTGAAGCTTCAAAACACTAGAAGGTGTTGCCCTTTAATGGGAAAACTTCGCTGTGCTCCATACAGCCTACTGTAACCTTATCCTAAGAGTGTGCAGTCTTCTAACATAAAACTTGCTTCATTAGTTCACTAATAAATGAACATGAAAATAAAAACATGAAGAGGCTGTTACTTTCACTTGTAGCACTGTCTCCCTCCCCTAGGTTAAGAACAGAGAAGTCACTTCAAAGAAGCAATTTATATCTTGAATCAACTGCCAGCTTCTGTTCACTTCCATCCCTTTCTACTCCCTCGCCTGGATTTGCCTTGTGATATACCCCTAACTCGTAGTGAAGCAAAAGCAAATGTCCAAAGAAGGTACAAGGATGGAAATGTGGAAAACCTTGCTTAGATGCTAGATTTTTGTTTCACTGTTTACACACACACACACACACACACACACACACACACAGAGACACGTATTGTGTAATGTCAGACATAGACCAAGGAAGGAGAGGAGAAAGTACAACCTGGGCTACAGAAGGACAGACAAATGTAGATTCCTAAATAGGAGAGACTGACGCTTCAGGCTTGAGAACCAGACTCTGAGTGTGCACATCACTTCTACAGCTTTTCTTCCCTCTCTTTACCCATCTCACAGTATTCTGTGGCTGGCCCTACTGCCCAACAAACCCAGGAACTCATAAGCTTCCATTGCTAAGAAGTAGGTCATCTGGACGTTGAGAACGAGTGGGTCGCAGAACAAATGCCATGCTTTGACCACGGAGGACAAGTTCACTACATGTCTAGGACTGTCTCAGAAGCCAAAGGAGTACTGATCATGTGGTCACTGTGGAAACTACTCAGATACAGTGTGGAGGTGTAAGGGTAAAAACAGAAGCGGTAAGAAGTATTTAGAAGAAGGAGATAGCTCAGTGGCATAAGCTCATGCCTGGCAAGCACAAGGTCCCAAGTTTGATTCCCAGTACAAAACAGAAAAAATTAAGAGCTATTTAAAAGAAAAAATAAACAAGATTTATTACCGAAGAATTTAAATGTGAGGAATGAGATGATATAAACATGTTAAATTTCCACTTTTTGTGAGTACATTCATAAGTACATCTAATCTTCCTTAAATTCACTTTCTCAACATCTATAAAAGTGATCTGAAACATGTCTGGCTATGAGGAGAAAATGAGGTTCTTAAGTTCACAATACATTATCAATTTACATTCATCTGTTTCTCCAATTTTCTCCTTGCTTTTTGTGTTGGCTTGGTGCTACACACCACAGGGCTTACACACAGAGAGACATCATTGATAATTGTTTCTTTCCTCCACGAAATACACTCTGCTTGGACCTAATCCCATGATAATTAAATGTCTCCTCTTGATTTCTCATAATTATCTTTGACCTTTTCTGCCCCTCTATATTATTTTAAGGTTGTGCAGGAGTCTGTGAGCACCAGGAATAAAAACATTTTATCTTTTCACCTCTGCAGTTCTGAGCTCAGCAGACTGTCACATAAAACTTGTTTTGTGTGTTTGCTCACGATGAATGAATGAACTCCATTGCCAGATATAGGTAACTAATAAGAAAGTCTTGGTGGTTAGTTGATAAGAAAATAGTTCTGTTGCTGTTTTCAGAGATTAGTGACAATGACAAGGCAAGACTTGTGTGAGGTATAGTTACAGAGGATGTGAGACAGGAATAAAGTGCTTAATAAAGTACTTCAGCCCTGAGGAGTGTGACGAAGAGCACATGTCCTCACTAGAAGACAAAGATCAGAGCCTACAGGGAGTGGGATAGATACTGGAGAAGGGCGAGTTTTTCAGTGAAGGCCTTAAACACACTCAGCATTAAGAAGTCATAGGATGGGCAGCAACACCTCAGTTCCAACAAGCCCATTGGGGAACTGAAGAAGACAAAATCCAACAAAATTTAGAGCCTAACTCTTTTATATTGTAGCCCTCCTCTGTTGAAAGCACTCTAGTAAGACTTCAGCTCACTAAGAACTGAAAGGAAAGCCTTTTAATGACCTATATGTCCCATGAGGCCCTCTGTGGCCTCGATGTCAGAATTATCCATGGTTCTGTTTCTCTTCCATTCACCCCTCTTCTCGCTGTTCAGGCGCACGGGCATCCTGGATATTCTAAGCCATCAGACGCACTGCCTACTTGGGACTCTCACTTGTACTTTCTAGTCATTCCCACCAATGGTCTTCCCCAGATGTCTCCACAGCTGTATCCCTCACTTCTCTGCTCCTCTCCTCAGAGCCCTCCATTTTGTGAGACATTCTGGGCCAATAATCCTGTTTCAGCTCCTTTCCTCTGATATTTATCAGTTCCTGCTTCCCTTTATTTTTTTTCTCCTGTGATTACCTACATATTTAAAATGATATACATTTTAAATGTATATATTGATTCCATTTGTTGCCTGCCCCTCACCAGAATGCATGCCTATGAGACGTGGAGTTTTGTTTTGTCTCTTTTGCTTATCACACTGTTGCCCCTTCACAACCATCTTTTGAATGTGAATGAATAGTCAGGACTTGTGATTCTGCAACAAACATTATTACCAAGTATGTGACTTAGAGTAAAGAGCCTCCATATTTGTCATTTATTTGAGACATAGGTAGGAGAAAGAGTGACTTCATTACCTCTAGAGCTTTTTCTTTTCTAAGAGAAAAGATGGGAAAAGTTATGGAGAAGGGCTTGTCTGTATTTGAATTTTGAGGTTATACTTTCATGTTGGTTTTTAATGAGGACATGGTCTCAACTTTCTGGGACATTAAGGCAGGAGAATCACAAGTCCAAGCCCAACCTAGGCAACTTATTGAGCCTCTGTCTCATTTTCAGAAATTTAAAAATTTATAAAATGGTCTGTGAGTGTAGTTCTGTGTGAAGGTCCTAGATTTGATCCCTAGTACTTCAAAGAGAAAAGAAAAGAAAATGGAAAAGGGAAGGGAAGGGAAGGGAAGGGAAGGAAAGGAAAGGAAAGGAAAGGAAAGGAAAGGAAAGGAAAGGAAAGAGGAAAGGAGGAGAGGAAAGAGGAAAGGAAAGGAAAGGAAAGGAAAGGAAAGGAAAGGAAAGGAAAGGAAAGGAAAGGAAAGGAAAGGAAAGGAAAGGAAAGGAAAGGAAAG